GTGAATCTAATCATCATTCAGGCAAAACTTTGCTTCAAAAATGAGTCACAATGCTGACGTGATCTAATCGCTAGCACACCCTGAGCACATGTGAGTCAATGTATTCCTCTTATCGGCAAGACATATCGCCATAATTTTTCATATCGGGCCGATGCCGATATTTAAATTTAAAGCCATTATCGGCCGATTCCGATATTGGTCCGATAATATCGTGCATCCCTAGTTTAAACTGAAACTAAACTTAAACTAAACTAAAATTAGAAATGTTACCCTGAAATCATTATTTAATTTAACGGAAATTACTGTAAACGTTTTCAAGAAAACCAACAGCACAGAAAAAGCAAACTGCTTTGAATGTGCTTTAAAATTGCCTGCCACCGCCCAGCTTTCCCGCTCAACCTCCATCTTCTGCTCATTACAGAGATGAATGAGTGTTTGAATGTGTTTGACCTGTGTCAAGGTTAGCCAAGGGCCTCTGATGCTGTTGTTCTCTGGCAGCACAGGGGTCCGTTTGAAGCCTTAGGCCTTTACTACAGCCTGTCCTTACATACACAGACGTGATTGTTTCTCTAAGGGTTGGTTAGCTGTTTATTTTCAAAGGTTTTTTAAGTGTCTGGCTCATTGTTCACAACGGTCTATGAGTCGAGTGTGTGTAATCACCTTAAAGATGCACCAGCACATAACTTGTGTTTGTTTATCAGACAGCGAGAAAGCTCTTCAGCGTGATTGGGGTCATTGAAACGTGGCAGATGCTTTCAGTCTGGGCAGCAAGCTAATAGCAAGGTTCTGATACAACACGCCGTTCCTGTTAGGGCTCCTGATTTTCCTCAAATCGCTTTGATTACTGTAATATCTGTACAGTAATGACACGTGCTGACTCTATTAGAGTGACTTTCCCTTTTAAAAAAACAACAGGGAAAATTGCTGTGGTACAACATGCAGTGATGTGTAGTTAATGGCATAGTGCAGTATACTGTGGTACTGAATGTTACTTCAGATGGTGTCAAAAAACACATTGTTATACCATGTTACTTTTTAGAAGTTATTAGTGTTAAACATTTTTGTTAGCGTTATAATGGCAGATATCTGAACTTGTACAATACAAATTTCAAGCTCAAAATTTTCCATTCATATTGCTACCAAAAAGAGTGTTTGAGCTCAAGGTAAAGTCAAAAGGTAACAATGAAACTTTGACATTGTTACAAGATGTTCCTCAAAAGGTCTCTTCAAGGCAAGAAAGTACGATGTTCATCATTTATACCTTTCTTTGGATAAACCTTTTTGATAAATTAATCAATGTAAATGTAAATAGGAACATTAATGACATTGATGCATCAATTTCTGTAAAATTACTATAAACTATATGGATTGTGAAAAGTGATATACCAATACACTACTGTTTAAAAGTTTGTTCAAAATCTATTTTAAGTAAATGCCATCCTTAACAACTGCTTTCAACATTAATAATGATTAGAAATGCTTCTCGTGCAGCAAATCAGCATAGTCAAATAATTTCTGAAGGATCATGTGACACTGAAGAATGAGTACAAAAAAATCTGCTTTACATTTTAAAATATATTGAAATAGAAGAGTGAAATAGAGAGACTTCTTTCAATGGTAATGCATATACAGTGGTGTGAAAAAGTGTTGGCCCCCTTCCTGATTTCTTATTTTTTTGCATGTTTGTCACACTTTAATGTTTCAGATCATCAAACAGGCCTCACTGCCTTCCATCATCTGTTTGTGTGTGTGTGTGTGTGTGTGTGTGTTTGTGCTCAGTGTCTGTGACAGATTTCAATGCTGACATTGATATTAAGCGCTCTAAACCTCACATAATCACAGTGTGTGTGTGTGTGTGTGTGCAAGATGCCTCTGCCTTGTTTTCTGTGGAGAGTTGTGTTTCTGGAGCTGATCTATCACATGTCAGTCTCAGACGACAAACCCACAGACCGTCTGATGAATATAGATCAATTTATCATGATGTCACATCTTGATTTTCCAGACAAGCAGTTTTAGCAGAGCTGCACTTTTAATGATCTGATTAACGTTTTGCAATTTTATGAATGTTAAACAAAGTTATTATAAAGTTATTCCTGTGGTGTATAGTAGAGAAGTGTGCAGGTTAAACAATGGACAAATGAGCAAATTAGTTTCAGCAATATTCAAAGTTTTAACTTTTCAAACATGCAACAGGTTTTTGGATGCATATTCTCAAATGTATAATGCGAAACTTCCAAAGCCTGAAAATAAAAGTAAAAATTGCAGTTTCAGCAGTAGAATGTTTAAATACTCGTTTTAAGTAATAATATTTGACATGTAACAAACTTTATAACCAATGACCTTTGTTTAGTACATTCCAAATAAATCACGCAATCACGTATTTTATAATACACTGAAAAAATGTTGGTGCAGGATTTACTTTTATACTCAGAAATTGCTTGTAAATTTCATAAATAATTACAAAGAAATAGCAAGTAACACAACAAATTGAATGTGGAATCTTGAAAAACATACCCCAGTAATCTATAAAATGTTTTTTTTTATATGTATATATAACTTACACACGCACGCACACACACACACACACACACACACACACATCTTACAGTGCTTTGCTTGATTTAATTTCATATTTCAAATCATGCCCGTGCATTCTGCAAAAAACTAAACTTTCACCTTTTACTTTTCACTTTCACTCACTTCGAGTGAAAGTGAAAAGTACACAACTTCGAAAAATCAGTTTTCCAGTTTTCTGCAGTGGTGATACTTGGTTGCGTTAGATCAACGGTTATGTATTTGACCTTATATTTGTCACAGTAGTAAAGTCGGGCTTTGTGCAATCCCTCAGAGAAATGCTAATCTACTCACACCAGCGGCGGGTCAAAGGGGTCTTATTAGAGCAGAAGCAATGATCTGTCATAATTTGTGTCAAATCCTGAGTTTGCCCTAATTCACTGATCCTGATGGACCTTGATATCCAGTAATTGTTTGAATCCCACACATTTTTTTCTGAGGTGGTAAAAGAACATGCAATTGCTGGCACAAATTTTTTTGTTTATAAGAAAGAATTTTATCTATTGCATATAAAAATTGCATATCAGAATCACAAGGTCCAGTCTGATTGATTGGGATTGTGAAAATTCTCTAACTGATCTACTGTTTTCTGTGCTGTTGTGATTTTTGAGTACGTGTGTAGATTGAGGCATTGATTGATTTCAGAAATGTTGTGCATCTCTCATTTGTCATCATAAAGTTATATTATGCTTATATTTGCATTTTTATGGCCAGACTAGACTGCAAAGTGATAGTCAATAGTCTACAGCCAAGGTGAAAGTGTCACTGTTCCTCTGACCTTTTTTCTGTGTGTCTGCAGGTACTCTCAATGTTCTGATGAGGGTGAAGAGCATCGCCACTGTGGATTCTGCCGTCTGGACTCTCTCCGGACACCAGGGGCCCCAATGGAGGAAGGCAGATGCTGAGATCTATCCGAGCGGACCCTTCCAGGTGTGTGCATGAGAGTTTGTATGCAAACACATTGTATGCAAATGTGTTTTCTTCTGATCTGTGCGTTTGTGTGTTGTGCACGTTGTGCATGTGAGTATATTTTCTGTAGCACATGTTTGGACAGGCTGCAGGGCTGGGGGATATATCAAATATTTCTGATATGTGCGTGATGCTTTTGCTAGCGAGATATAAAATAAGCATTATTGTTTTTTGGATATCAGGTTTCCTAACGTTGTGTCATTAGACTAGTTTTGCAATGTTTCCTGACTTGTGATTGGCAAGTATGAAAGCGTTAAGGAAAACATTTTAATAACATCTCTTGAGTAGAAAAAATGGAGCTGGTAAAGAGTTTTTTACGTTTGATTCAGTTAATTGAATCAGTTCAAACTGTCCATTTCAATGAATTGATTTAAAACTGATTCAGTGATTTGTTTGCATCACAAGCAGCAGTGCAAACCTTTAGAGCTGATTCATTTGATTCAGTTCTGTGAATCACTTCAAACTTCAACACATCAAACCTCTGATTCATTGATAATTTAGTGTAGTTTCAATGTCACATTTTTCATATATAAATGAAGATATATATTATTCTGATAACACTTTCTGTTATAAGGTTCTGTTTGGTAACATTAGTTGACTACATTAACAAAACATACTTCTAAAGCATTTGTTAATCTTATTTAATGTTAATTTTAACATTTAATAATACATTATTATTATAAAAAAAAAATTAATATATAATTGATTAATATAATTTAATGGACCTGAGCTAATATGGACAGCTCTATTTTATTAACTACACATGAACAAAGATTAATAAATACTGTAACAGTTTATTGCTCATTGTTAGTAAATATTAATGTACTGTATTTAGTAATGCTACCTAATGGACCTTTTGTTTGTTAAGTGAAAAACAATATGGAATATTTTAATCAGATTTATACTTTATTTTATAGTTTGAACATTTTGAATCTAACACAGTGGCACTTGAAGTGATGTTTTATTTTTAATCAAATTGGAGTAATTGCATAGATATTTATAGATTTATTTGAGCTATTTTGTGCAGTCCTAGTTGGCAGGTGTGCTATGCCTGTACGTGTGTGTGTGTGTGTGTGGTTAGAGGGTCTGTGGTGGGGGGGAGGGGGATGATTGAGGAAGCGCTGAGTCGTGCTCTACCGCTCTCCTCTGGACCTGTGTTTCTGCTGAGCTGAGCTCTCAGCACAACAGCTGCAAAGACCAGGAGACGTTTACTACTCATCACAGAGGAGAAAAGATGCTGGAGAGAGAAAATGACAAATTGAAAGAGCTTGAAGAGCAGGACTGAAAAAGAGGAGATTTATTCAGTGAAGAAAACTGAGAGAGAAGGGCAGAAAAAGATGAACACCACATGCAATAGGGACGGAAATGAAGACAATAGAGAGTTTACCGGTAAATAGGACACACTTAAAGGCACAATATGTAAGATTTTTTAATTAAAATATCCAAAAACCACTAGAACAGTGCTATATATTTTGCTGACTTGTGTACTTACATTATCCCAAATGTTTCAAAGAATGTTTAAATCCAGAGAAATAAGCAATTTTAACTAGTGACACGGACCTTGTCCATAGTGTCATTGTGTCGCCTGCTAATGACGTCATACACCCTCGATTTCCGGTTTTGTTTTGTAGAAAACATGGAAACACCAAAGACGCTTTAATATGTTGTGCGTTTTAATAGACCGGTGACGACCGCACATTTGTTAATCTTATTTAATGTTAATTTTAACATTTAATAATACATTATTATTATAAAAAAAAAATTAATATATAATTGATTAATATAATTTAATGGACCTGAGCTAATATGGACAGCTCTATTTTATTAACTACACATGAACAAAGATTAATAAATACTGTAACAGTTTATTGCTCATTGTTAGTAAATATTAATGTACTGTATTTAGTAATGCTACCTAATGGACCTTTTGTTTGTTAAGTGAAAAACAATATGGAATATTTTAATCAGATTTATACTTTATTTTATAGTTTGAACATTTTGAATCTAACACAGTGGCACTTGAAGTGATGTTTTATTTTTAATCAAATTGGAGTAATTGCATAGATATTTATAGATTTATTTTAGCTATTTTGTGCAGTCCTAGTTGGCAGGTGTGCTATGCCTGTACGTGTGTGTGTGTGTGTGTGGTTAGAGGGTCTGTGGTGGGGGGGAGGGGGATGATTGAGGAAGCGCTGAGTCGTGCTCTACCGCTCTCCTCTGGACCTGTGTTTCTGCTGAGCTGAGCTCTCAGCACAACAGCTGCAAAGACCAGGAGACGTTTACTACTCATCACAGAGGAGAAAAGATGCTGGAGAGAGAAAATGACAAATTGAAAGAGCTTGAAGAGCAGGACTGAAAAAGAGGAGATTTATTCAGTGAAGAAAACTGAGAGAGAAGGGCAGAAAAAGATGAACACCACATGCAATAGGGACGGAAATGAAGACAATAGAGAGTTTACCGGTAAATAGGACACACTTAAAGGCACAATATGTAAGATTTTTTAATTAAAATATCCAAAAACCGAGCCGTGTGTCACGCTCGTTCAGCGACCTCGTTTTGCTTCGATGGCTTTCAGCCTCACCCTGCTTCATTCTACAACGTTAATAAATCATTAGCTCATCCATGAACATGATTTCTGCCTGAGTCCCGTCAGATTGCATCGGCTGTGGGGATGAAGACAACAACTCCCATGATTCCACACTCAGTCACGGCGTCATCAAACTACGCCTTTGTCTATTTGTTTATTTTGAATACGTGCCCTCCAGCGGCAAAAATTACATATTGTGCCTTTAAGTCTGGGCTCATTGGTCCTGGTCCTGTCAGATTATTTTACCCCCACTGTTTCTATAACTACTGCTTCTTAAAGACAACAAGAAATTGCATTTGACTTTCATAATGGGACAAAGTTCTAGGTGAAACTGAATATTCAGTGGGAAGCAATGTAGGACATGGATGTTTTTTTTTTTGTCCTTTGAGATTTGGCCTCACCCATTTGGATTACAGCAGAAAAAAAGTTGTTGCATAGGTGGACAACATTATTGCATTTTGATGAAGATTAGGAAAACATTTAGAGCAATATGAATCATGCACAGTAAGAGTAGGAATAAGTCAGCATGAAATCAAAATACACTCGTAACTTTTTATTTTCTTATTTTACATTTCCAGTCTTATTGTGCCCCAGTTTTATTTGAGTATTATCGCTACTTTTATTACTGTTATACTATTATATTTTGTATCATTTTCAGTCAGTTGTTTTATTTTTATATATTAATTTTTATGTATTTTTTGTTTTCGTTAGTTTTAGTAATTTTTGTGTGTTTTTTACATTTTTAGTAGATTTTGTCATATATATTTTGTTATTGTATACCGTTTTTAGTTATTTTAGTACATCAGTTTAAATGAGAAATGTTGCCTTGGTAACTAGTTAAAAAAAGTTTTATTTATATTATTTTTAGATTTTATTTTACATGACTTTTCTTTTTGGCTGATCCCACAAATCCTCCATTCTGGTATGTAATTCCTACATTTTTCTCGTTGAATACTCTGTTTCTGTTTCAGATAATTGAATAGGGTCAATTGAATAAGTAAATAGGGTACATTTTGATTTTATATTGGACAAATCTGTTCTCACCTCTCACTTTTCACTTGCCATCTAGAGTGGGAAAAACTGGTATTTTTACTTCTTTTTCCTCACAGTTAATTTTTTGAAAAAAAAAACAGTTGCTAGCCTCTCTCCTCTCTCTGTGCTGTCTCTTTCATTTCACTCAGTAATGCCATGTATTTGACACTTGAAGACGTAAATAGATCCTCACCTCTCATCCAGGCCCCAGTTGGCCTCCATCAATCGATGCTAAAGACCAATCCAGGCGTTCCTGGACAGTAGGACTTGACAAGTCCGGCAGACAGCCTTGTTTCTGCGCTGTCTGTTTGTTTGCTCTGTTCTCATCTCCTCTTTGTTCCTCCATTGACTCTTGCCGTGTGGATCGAGTGACTGCGGAGGCTTGCTGAGATAAATTAGCATCATTTTCCCACAGAATCTCAGAGAAAAAGGAAGTATGTCTTTGCTTCGTTGCATGAGGCATCTCACCCATCGCTAAGCCTGATGGATCAAGCAGAATCACAAGAGCATTGCTTTATCCGAAAGCTTTACTCGGCTGTGTGAATCCATTACACGGGCAGCATGTTTGAGGTTAAACTGAGCGGGATTGATAGTTGGGGTTTTTACAGAGATCTAACAGACCTCACAGCGTTGGAGGAGCTCTGAGATGTTACAGATTCGCTTGGGAGTTGAGAACTGGATCTTAAATAATATGTGTACATTCAGTTCCATTGTATTCTGAACAATTTTCTTATATAACTGTAACATTACAAATTTCAAATTTAATTTCCATATAGACATACATTGGTGTCCTGAACTATGATAAATTGGAGTTTATTTTACAACAACAAACAACTCGATGTACATATATGACGTCATTAAAATGGTTGTTACAGTTTTTTTTGATTAATGAAACTGATTCTAATTAAGAACCAGTTGGTTAAAATATTTATAAAAATGTAGAATCTAAAAAATATTTTAGAATAATTGTTTATATATACACAGTTTGTACACATGTTTATATAAGTCTCTTATGCTCATTAAGGATGCATTTATTTGACAGTAAGAAAAGTAGAATTGTGAAATAATATTACAATTTAAAATAATGGTTTTCTATTTTAATATACTTTAAACTATAAAATATACTTTTTCCTGTAGTGGCAAAGCTGAATTTTCATCAGCCATTTATCAGAAATCATTCTCATATGCTCATATTTATTATCAATGCTGGAAACAGTTGTGCTGCTTAGTATTTATTTGGAATCTATGGGACTTTTTCAGGATTCTTTGATGCTTTTTTTTAAAATAAATTAATGCTTTAATTCAGCAAGGTATGTAAGCCCATTTCCACCACTGAATAAAA